ATTATCATAATTTAATTATCGTAATTTTATATAAAAATACTAATATGATCAGACATGCTAAAAAATTATGACAACGAACAACGACTCAAGTTCGTCCTCAAATCCTAGATATTCAAACTAAACATCTGCCTGAAAAATACGTTTCTGAATACGATCGAGTGTTCACATTTCATACGTTGCATTGGTGTGATGATATACTACGGTAAGAAAGATATTTGAACGAATAGAGACTGATTTTAATTTATAAGTGTTTTCTCTGAAGGAGAGTAGATTCAGGAGAGAACCTACTCTTAATCCTATCCGTCGCATGGGATCTTTAAGAGAATATTATATCCAAAATAGTCTTTTCTTATATTTTACATGAACCCAAAAACCTAATTATATAAACAAAGAAAATATTTAAATTCTCAACATAAAAGATATAAAATAATTTTTTATATTGAAGTCTCTCGAGATCCCATGCGTCGACTCGTGTTCGAAAAGTAGCACGACGACTGTGGGGTTAAACGTAGCTTTCTTTAATTATTTTAATGTGTCCGATGCAAATAAATTCTTTCGACATTTCCGCGATACATGAAATATCGACGTAATTTTATTTTATTTTTTAGAGAGGGAGTTGCCGGTACTCCTCGCCGATGTGCCTCTTCGCATATGGGCGCAGCTGATTTTTCAACGCGACGGAGCTCCTGCGCGGTAAGTACACGAAATATCAGTACACTTTTTTCAGTAAGTATACGATATATTAGACGCGCGTTATCCTGATAAGTGGATGGGTCGTAGTGGTCCAATTACTTGGCCGGCACGATCGCCAGAGTTAAACGTATTAGATTTTTTTGTATGGAGTCATATAAAAAATTTAGTCGAGCATCGATATAATAGTAGAGAAAACGAAGTATGTGAAACTATTGTTGCGGCCTTCGGTATTTGATGTTCGGTAATTGATATTGTATTTGGATTAACTGGTTTGTATGAACACGTACGTTCTTTTTTACTAAGCGAATTGTTGCACATACGATACGGTGAAGAAGTTGTCGAAATTCGTTGGATTAAGGAAGTACTGTCGAGGAAGACGATGATAATCGTCTTCAGGAGGCGCCAAAGAGGAAGGCGGCTGGACTCAGGAGGCGCCGACGGGGAAGGCGGCAGTAGCCGCTGGACTTAGGAGGTAATTATTTATTTTTAGGGGACTCATCTTCGATATATATTATGAAGGACACTTTCCTAAATAACTTTCAGAAGGTTTTAGCCGTCGCTCGTTGTTTATTAAAAAGTTATAAAAAAAAAGTTGCATAAAATGAATGTAATTTTTGGACAGCGTATATACAAAAACATCGAATTTGTAAGCTAGGAAGATACCTGCTGCACACACACATTGCACGCCAGCAAGCGCACTCGCCCGCCCGACAGGTAGATGCGCTTATTATATATACGCTTACTGGCGAGTAGTGTATATGTGTGTGTATGTGTGTGTGTGTGTGTGTGTGTGTGTGTGTGTGTGTGTGTGTGTGTGTGTGTGTGTGTGTGTGTGTGTGTGTGTGTGTGTGTGTGTGTGCGCGCGCTTATGCGTATGCAACTGAACGTAACACATTGTTGCAAGTAACATAACATAACCTAACCTAATCTAAACTAACTTAAATTGTTATATTATGTCACTCGCAACAATGTGTTACGTTCAGTTGCATACGCACACACCACACCCACACCCACACTTACACCCACACACAAACAAACACACACACACACACACACACACACATTGCTCGACAGCAAGCGCGCTCGCCAAAAAACTAACCCTACCCAACGTATTTATTAACAATGTATGTACACGCATGCAGATGACCAGTGTGTGTGTGTGTGTGTGTATGTGCGTGCGTGCGTGCGTGCGTGTGTGCGTGTGCAGCAGGTATCTTCCTAGCTTACAAATTCGATGTTTTTTATATACGGTGTCCAAACATTACATTCATTTTATGCAACTTTTTTTATAATTTTTTAATAAACAAGCGACGGCTAAAACCTTCATAAAGTTACTCAAGAGAGTGACCTCTATTATATATGTCAAAGTCATTGGGGGTGAGTCTGCTAAACTAAATAATTACCTTTATTTGATTGCTTTATTTGATAATAGAACTTTTTTAATAAGGAGAGAAAGGTATCTCGGATACTGGTATTTAAAACTTCGTCTCTACCGTTTCCTGACAGTGTTTTTCGAACAGTACTATTACGCCGGAAATGGCGCATCGTGCAACGCGCAATACTGTTCGAAGAGCCGAACTCTGTATACAGCAGAGAGGACGACACTTCGAGCAATTTTTAATTAAATAATAAAAGTGGATTAGGCTTACTGGGGATACCACTATAAAAAAAACGCACCATGCTATCTACCGCTAGGTGGTGAGGAAATGATAGCGCTTTATCATTTTTTTGCTATGTGAACCCGGAAAGTCACGTGAACCTTTCACGGAGGACAATAATTTTTCGGCGTGCGGCCGCGTGCTACGTGTCGCTTGTTACTCCGCCTCGAAATCAGCTGTTTACTCATTGTTGCTAAATGGTAAGCCATTTCTTTCACACACAGGGCCTGTCCTACCGCTTCTCGTCCGCTGATTCGTTTATACATTTTAATTAATTACGGAATAAATATTGAGAAAATTTCAAAATGGTATATAACTTTTACGATTATTTTGACCTATTCTACCCGTACACGGCGTTTACTCAATCAGTTACCGGATATCCTCTCTATATCTCTTACTTTAAAATAAATTGATATTATATAATCAATATTATCTCTTTCATACTGAAGTCACTATTTTCCTGTTAAATTCAATAATTATGTTAATTAAAAATTCTTTCAACGATTCGATTCGGATGAAATTTCATCGATTCGATTTGAATTTAAAATTAAAATCTGAGATTCGATTCAATTCGACATAAAAAATCTTTGATTCGCACGTGTCTACATTACATTAGATGCTGTCAAATAATCTCTGTGTGTGTACATTATATAGTACATATACACACACGAGGTCTGTCCCAAAAGTATCCGATCTCTGCGTATATCTTTGTCCTTGGGCATCTTATTGAAAACAGGTATTCAGTATTTAGGGTGGAGTATTTAGGGTACTTTTAAGAGTATCCCCAAGTGGCACGACTCAATAGCTGTTCAGTCGGCAACGGTATGCAGTTATATCAGCGTCGAAAACTCCGTGCGTCGCATTTCATAATGACTGAACGAATCGAGTAGAGAATTTGTATTAAATTTTGTCAAAAACTTGGCCACACATGTTCCGAGACAATCGATATGATCCATAAAGTTTATGGTAATGACTCTATAAGTAATACACAAATAAAAGAATGATTTAGACGGTTTAAAGCCATGTGTCTCAGTGGACAGTGATCCTCGTTCCGGCAGACTTTCAACGTCGAAAACAGCGGAAAACGTGTGCGATCCGCAATCAACAAAAATCGTCGTTTAATTGTGCGAGAGTTAGAAGAGAACCTTGAGATCCCAAAAACTTGTTTCTCGAATATTGACTGAAGATCTGGGAATGATTAGCGTGATTGCAAAATCACTCATTGTAAATTCGTTCCACGTGTGTTTACGGAAGGTCAAAAGAATTCTCGAGTAGAAATTGCCCAAGACATCCCGCAATTCATCAACAAAGATCCTGAGTTGCTTAAAATGGTTATTACTGGCGATGAAACATGGGTTTATGGCTACGATCTTGAAACAAAAGCACAATCTTCGCAATGGGCGACGAGAGAAGAGCCTCAACTCAAGAAAGCGCGTCAAAATCGAAACAACGTAAAGGCAATGCTCACTGTTTTCTTCGACCAGGAAGGTATTATACACCACGAATATGCTCCATAAGGTCGCACAATAAACAAGGAATATTACTTGGAAGTTCTTAAACGATTGCGTGACGCAGTAAAAAGGAAACGTGGGATTCCGCATTTGTGGAAAAGTGGGAACTGGCTGCTGCACCATAATAACGCATCTGCTTATTCATTTCACCTGATTTAGGAGTTTTTGACTAAACACGGCATTGTCCAACTTCGTCAACCTCCGTACAGTCCAGATATAGCCCCGTGTGACTTTTGGTTATTTTCTAAGTTGAAATATCCGTTGAAAAAAAAAATTTGACGATGTTGAGGAAATAAAGCGAAATGCGATGAGGAAGCTGTTGGCTATCACAAAAAGACGACTTCCAGGACTGCTTTCGCAAGTGGATGCACCGTTGGCAGAAGATTATTGCTTTCGAAAGGAAATTATTTTGATGGCGACGTTATTCATATCACTCCGGAATAGCTCTTTCTCATGATACAGGCAAAGGATACTTTTGGAATAGACCTCGTATATTATAGCTTTATATTATTAATTATTTCAACAGCTCTGATATTGTCTTTCGTTACTCAATTTTTGAAGAACATACCGCATGGCCAAATGGAACAATTTAAAGATGATTTTATCCGGGAATATACGGGAAGAAGATTTTTCCATAAACGGATGTGTAATCAAAGTGAAAGAATTTCGTCAGATCTGCTTGAAATATTAATAGCTTATGCGAAAAAGGATGATGTAACGTGTGAAATATTAGTATATTCAAACCGTAAGACATTGTCAATGATTGTACGTCGGAATAATACATATTTATACTCATATTTTACCATTGTAATTATTGCTCGATAAACGTGAATAATAACCTAACACGTACAATGCTGGTGTGAATAGTAAGATTTTTACATGCCGTTTTCCATACATGCGACTTTAATTCTGACGTAGTAACTGTACAGGCCATTAGATGAATTTGCATAGCTGTATATAGCACAAAACCGTCTCAACCAATGAGCATATTATACGAATCAATATGCTACTCTATGCTAAATAGTCCAGATAGTTTTATGCTATGTATATGCGGTATATGCAAATCTGTCTGAATATGTCCTATGACTTTCAAACGTATATACGTAGTTCCTAGCGCTTCCCTTTCCCTCCCCCCTCTCGCTCCCCTACCAACTGCGATCGTCAACGTATATATATATTCCTCTATCAGATAGTTAGCCTCGAGTTCACATCAGTGGCGACCGAGCTGTTCTAACCGAATTGTTCGAAGTAAGTGAACAACTTTGTTTGAAAACCTACTATGTCTTTGAAGCATTTGATATTAGTTTTACGTAAATTCTTATACGTCTTAGATTCGTATGATATTATTTAAACAGTACTTCATTATGTTTAAATCTAAAGATTTCTGCTTTTTTTTGCGTACATTTATCTGAAGTTATATGTATGAATTTTATCCTCTCTAAAAGAAGGCATGTAAGAGATTTGATTGTTGCCGCTTTTCCGCGATGCTGATTGGTTTTCTCGCTTAGCTCACTTCATATGGGCTGCGGCTTACTTCATGTCGTTTGCGTCTGTCAAATAGCTGTCATCGCATTGGTTAGGTCACGAAAAAAAAAAAATACAGAAGAGATATGTCTCTCCCTGTCTCTCCCTGTCTTTCCCTCCCTCTCCTGTCTCTGCCTGTGTCTCCCTGTCTCTCCCTGCTTTTCTTGTCTCTCCCTATCTCTCCCTGTCTCTCCCTATCTCTTCTTGTTTTTTTAATTTTATGTTTTATGATGTCGGTAAGTAGGAAAAGCAAAGAATAGTTCATACATGCTTTTCTCTGCTTTAATCAAAAGCATAAACTGTTATAAAGCAGAAAATTGTTCATACATGCTTTTCTTTGCTTTAATAAAAAGCATAAACTCTGTTATAAAACAGAGAATAGTTCATGTATGACGAGAACGTCGTAATCGTGTGTACAGTTAGATCTAAATTTTAATCCGTATAAAAAAGTAATTATTAAGTTTTATAAGATAGTGTATATGATTAAGGCAGAGAAAAGCATACATGAATTCTGCTTTATTCTCTGCTTTATAACAGAGTTTATGTTTTGGTTAAAGCAGAGAAAAGCATGTATAAACATAAAATTAAAAAAACAAGAAAACAAAAAGTGAGCGACAATTTTCATTTTCAGAAATCAATTCTACGCATAAAAATATACAAATTTAGAAAGTTTGAAAAAATCCATGATAAGGGCGTTATACTGCATATTTGCCAAAGAAAGGGCAGACAAAAAGAGAATATTATTTAAGCAAAAATAAGGGTAAGAATAAGGTAATTATAAAGATAATTTAAAAGGTAATTATAAAGATAATTTAAAAGGTAATTTAAAAGGTAATTGTAAAGGTAATTTAAAAGGTAATTGTAATGATAAGATGGTAAATAGCGCGCGCCTGTAATGTTCTAGTAAGTTAAAAATGAATGATTTGGATTGATAAAGTCCAATCGCAGTGATAAAGCTTGAAGACTGACAGGGTCTTATGTTTATGCTAAGAAAATTTTTTTACAGAACTTTATTTTCATTCATTTTTTAATTTAAAGTTTGTGTTTATTTTAGTCTCATGTTTTTTTATGTAGCAAAGTTTTTTTCTTTTTATTAAGACGATCTTATCAATAATTTTTTTAGACTAAGATTTAAATTTGATTGATAATATATAAATTAAAATTTATAATATATTAATTTTAATTTTTTATTAATACAATTATGTATATGATATTACATATTATTGTAATAATTCAATAGTAACCAATAAATTCTGTGATATTACACATTATTGTATGTCTCGACAAAATGTAATATATATATATATATATATAAACAATAAAAATTAAAAAATTTAAACTATATATTAAAATTATGTTAAAGTAAACAGAAAAAGAGTACAATGATTACGTCTTACGATAAATGTGATTTGATAACTTTTAAATTTTGATAACTTTTCAATTTTTTATCATGTACGTCTGAAAGAAAAAAAAATACTAATAAAGTAATACTAGCAGTAAAACTAAATTAAAAAATATAACAACTTCAGGAAATGTGGATATAGTGAAAGAATATTAAATATCATAAAAATTTTATATAAAATATTTTTTATTCCACGTAATATAAAAGATATTTATTTATTACCAATTTTACTAAATTATTTTCGAGAGATTGTCTTAACCCGTGAATATGTCGATATTTATATATAAAAAAATAAGTGTCTTACTTTTTCTGTTTTACAATATTTATCTGTATTACATTTTTAAAGTTGAATAGAATTAGTGAGAGACAGTTTCAATAGTTTCCTTGTGACAATAAATTTACATATAGTTTTGTACAGAATGATTCTTTTACCAAGTGAGTTTTTATCAATTTATTGACTCTGCACAAACTCATGTCACTTATTTCGTTCCTTAATTTTATACAGCCTATCATTCTTTGCATTATTACTATATTTCAAGTAAAAGAGTGAATAAAGTGATTATTCGCAAATTGTAAAGATAATATTCACTGCGTACTAAGACTAATCTGCACTTAAAGAAAAATATAGTATTTCGGCTTACTTTAACTATGTTTTTTTGTTCTGATTTGATCTTGTTGTTTTGATTTTAATCAGAAAAATAATTAGAAGAACTATCTTTCTAATAACACTTTCTAATAACACTTACTAAAACAATGGTTTTTCTAATTATTTTTATGGTTAAAATCACAAAAGCGTATAGTTGACGCCAAAGGCAACTAATTTTTCTCTCAGTATGACGGTTATTGTATATGTTGAAGTTTTGCCGTATTATTATACACGAATTTTATGTCGCAGAAATGCATTTACTTGGTTTCTATTATATATAAACGTAACATTAAGAGTATATGTAGAATATAAGATAATACTTTAAAACATTTCTTGTATAGATATTTGCAACTTAATATGACAGACTTGAAAGAACACTACCAATCTAACGACGCGTCGCATTCTACGATACAGTTCATAATAAACGAGTTCGAAGAAGAATTACAAAATATGTCTGGAAAGTGTACAGACATCGGTTGTGGCCACGGAGATCAAACAAGAAATAATCTTTTGCCAGCTCTTAATCCGAAAGCAGTAATAACTGGTAACAAATCGCGAAAAGTAACAAATCACGAAAATATATATGTATATATAGTGCATAAATGACATATAATATTAATTATTTTTTAACGCATGGATTGTATTTTATGTGAAGGTGTGGATCTTTCGGAGGACATGATTAAACATGCGATACAAGCACACAGTGATGAGAAGCGAATAGAATTCTACATATTGGACATCGAAATTAAAAATTTACCTGAGAAATACATTTCTAAATATGATCATGTATTCTCATTTTATAGTTTGCATTGGTGCAATGATATTCGGTAAAAAATATATTTAAACGAATACAAATAAATAGATAAATATATTTAAATAAATATAGAATAATTTTCATTACTCTTATGAGCATTGCCAAGTCTATAAAATAAATATTTCAGAGAAGTTTAGTTAAATAATGTATGCAATTTTGTTTTAAATATTTTTACGTGACTAATATTCATAAATATTTCTTGACCTATTTCAGAAGTGACAAAATAGTGGTAAACAGCTTCACACATAACTACGGGAAAAATATATATTTTAATCAATATCTATATTTTAGTAAATTTTTAAGATATTTAAGATATTTATAAAAAATATATATATTAAGAAACTTTATATGTTTATATAAATTACCCCAAGTTATTTTAACAAATATACTAATATCTTACTACTAACTAATATTTTAAACTAATTACATTTACTTCTTTTCTTTAATAGGCAAGCGTTTGAGAATATATATCGTTTACTTCGACCTAGCGGAACTATGTTTGCAATACTAATTCAAACTCACGATATACTTGAGATTTTACTTGATATGTCGAAAGATATCCGTTATTCACCGTACATGAAGGTATATATTATTGGTTTCTTTATCAATTGCCAATCGGTTATTATTTGTTAAATATTTTTAATGCACTTACAGGATAAAGAGAAATTTATTCCGCCATTTTATAATTCAATTTATCCTGAAAAAGAGCTAAAAACATTACTTAAAAATATAGGATTTAAAGTTCATCATTGCAGTCTTCGAGAAAGAACTTACTCCATTCAAATAGCACAAAAACTTCCACGTATGTATTTTTAAAATATGTATGTAGCTATTATATATATATATATATATATATATATATATATATATATATCTTATATTTGTATTAGTTATATATAATTTATAATATCAATATTTTGCATATGAGTTAATATGTATAAATTATGCTTTTATACTGACTATTAATTATTTTTTTTCGACAGACAAAATAATGGCTTTTGCCCAAATATTTATGGAAAACATGCCTTGCGATTTAAAGGAACAATTCAAAGATGAGTTTATACAGGAACATGAAAGAAGAAGATTGTACTATAAACAACTGCATAACCAAGAAGAAAGAATTGTATCAGATCTACACGAAATATTGGTAGTTTACGCAAAAAAATAACGATGAAGAACGATATTGAAGTTACGTGAATGTTGGAATTGCGCATCATCGATCTTACAATTATTAAAACTATACACTAATTTTAGAGTCATAATTTTTAATCTATTTTATTAAGATAATACTATAATTAAGGGATTACTATTATGGGTTCTGATTTTGTATTCAACTTGGAAAATATATTAATATAAAATGCCAAACTGGGGGATTATGGTAATACCAAATATCCGAAATCCGCAATTCCCAAATGTGACATTTTATAAAAAGATCAACAAACATCAACAATATCAAAAGATGTTTTATCAATTCTGATCAAGAAAATTACAAAAGCGATCAATATTAGGTTGAGGGTCTCTTGTGAGTTAACGTGATAGTTTGTATTAGAATAATCCGATGTGTTCTCATCACAATGAAATTCTGTATTAAAAGAATTAAACTCACAAGAGACACTCAATCTATTCTTGATCGCTTTTGTAATTTTCTTGATCAGAATCGATAAAACAAATGGAACGCAAAGACAAATGAAATTCAAGATAATAATTTATCTTGCATTCCACTTGTCTTTTGCTCCTAACGTTTTATTCCTAACCTCAGTTATCTATCCTCAGTTATCAATTTCTATTATAGAGCTTAAGAGGATGCTGGAGTGAGCGACGAACTTGATAAGCGCGATAATGTAGAGCGATTATCAAAAGAAAACATTATTATCATTTACCGACGATATCGAATTTATATACACATAGGCCAGTATTCATATGGCCGATTTTATATTTAAGATCATCTTAAGTACTGTTTTAAGATATCATGAACCAATCACAGAGCCGTATTCGCATCTTAAGACATTACTTAAGACGGTCTTGAAATAAGATTCGACTATGAATACCAGCCATAGATATTTATGGAATAAATACGATCGTCAAATAGGCGCTAACATGATACCGCTATCATCTTTTCATAGATGTTATGCAAGCGTGTGTGTTACGTTGTCATTTCAATTTTCTTACACATAGACGTTACGTAAATGTGAATACCACGTTGCCGATATTCACATTTTCTCCAAAATAGGCTCTTGCTACTTTTCTGATGAATTTTTCAAACCGCTTGTGTACTGGATGTATCAAAGAAAGAGTTTTTAGAGTGTTGTAGGCGCAAGCGTAGTTTGCGAATAATTTTTTGAAAAATACGTTACCTATTATTTGAGTTTTCAATATAATTAGCAACGGTAATTTAAGATTTTATATCATTTTCATTTCATATTGATCAATGTTACACTTTATTTTCGCACGTAATTTTATCATATAAATTAGAGTAGTCAGTACGTTATAATTTTTGAAAAATGAAATCAGTGTCACGATAGCAATAGTTCCCATCGTTTTCATCCTTGAGGCAAGAATACCTTATTTCATTTATGCATGTACTTTTACTATACAAAAGCATTTTTAATTTGGTCAAGTCAACACAAAATAAAATTTGTTGGGAAATGTTGTTAACGTGATATCGAATACCTTTGCAAAACTATTGTCTCATGCTGATTCGACAAAATTAAAAAATCTTTTGCACGATGAAAGTACGGGCGAAAATAAAGCAGAGTATCCCACAATATGAGACGAAAACGATAAAGAACAGTTACTATCACGACACCGAATCTTTTTGCAAAGTTTACTTCTTTCTACCTGCGTCGAATTAAAAACCTTTTTGCATGGTGAAAGTACATGCGAAAATGAAGCAGAGCATCTCTCAATATGAGACAAAAATGATAAGAAACAGTTACTCTATCACGACATCGAATCTTTCTGTAAAGACTACTTCTTTCTATCACCGTCGAATGAAAAACCCTTTTGCATGGTGAAAGTACGTGCGAAAATGAAGCGGAGCATCGCTCAATATGAGACAAAAAGAAACAGTTACTATCACAACATCGAATTTTTCTGCAAAGACTACTTCTTTCTACCTCCGTCGAATAAAAACCCTTTTGCATGGTGAAAGTATATGCGAAAATGAAGCGGAGCATCGCAAGTGATCCGAGAGACGATGTAAAGCGAAATAGTCAAACTTCACGTCATTTTCGAAAATACATCTTTGCGAACGCGAAAATTATTTTTAAAAACTACAAGATATTATCACAGAATGTGCTCTAGATGCTAACACTATATGACTTAAATAACCTACAGTAACATTACTGATTTTCATGGCCAATGCGCGATAATCCGAGATTCATACGACGCTAAGTTGGATCTAACGTTATGAACGCGACTTTGGGCTGTTGAAAAATAAGAAATTATTTTCAAGATTCTGGGCGTGTTACTGAGAGAGTAGAGTAACATTAAGGCACATTGTCACCCAAGAGACGATGCAGAGCGAAATACGCACACTTCCCGTCATTTTCGAAAATACATCTTTGCAAACGCGAAAATTTCTTTAAAAATGTACGACGATTTCTTTACGACGATTTCTTTACGATTTGTTCGTCTTTGTTCAGTTATTATCGTCGTTGCGATAAACAGTTGCGTGGGCTTTGAGAAAACTATATATATTGTATATATACACACACATACACTCTGAATATTCGGATGCTGTGAAAAGTGCGATAAAAGTGCCATCTTGAAAAATATCCGTAAATTAATTTTTCGCTCTACTTTATCATAGTTGTCGGAAAACCGCATGTAATCATACATTTTTCTGCAAACTTTTCGTATCTTTTTTGGCATCGAAACTAAATTCTGAAAGTATAGTAATCTTTGAAATTTTCCTGATTGAAGCATCCACAGTATCGGTATGTACAACCTGCAGAATGTTTGCATTAAACAAATATTGTACTAACTGAGAGCTCAAAATTTAAACATATTTTTTTCGTTTTCAACACATATTGAGCTGCTCCAATTTATTTTTTAATGTACTGTTGTTATCTAAAAGCGTTTGTAATTCTGTGCAAGCAACAAGACGTAAATTTTGCAGAAAGAAGTCAATGTTATGTCGGTAAAGTTTTCATGTCCGGCATCCCCTTAATATCTATGGTTAAATGCCTTATTTCCTTATGGTTGCTTGTTAGATTTGGACTCATATTAACTCTATTTTTGAACCTATACTTCTGTTTTCTTATATTTCTATATAACAATTAAAATAAATATCTAAGAGTAAGGATAAAAGATCAACTGATCTTTATTCTCGATAATGTAATCTTTGTTAAAACCGCGTTCTCTCAATCAATAGCAGGCTTGTCATAAAAAAAAAAAAAAACACGATATTTCTTCATTGGATATTTCGCGTAAAGGGACCTCATTGAATACGAGGACTCGCGGAGAACACTGAGCATAATAAACTTTTATTCGTAAACTCTCCGACGAGTCACTCGTAAAACAGTAATTTCCGCACCTTAAGAGACCATTTTTTTCCACGAAGTTGTAAGAGTATTTAGCATTTGCATCCAGCGGCACACCGCGCGTATTCCTGCGCGTTTTCTTTTGTTTGCTAGAGTTTACAGAGGTATGTGCTATCGACATATTTCTCTACTCGGTGATAAATTATGTTACATGGACAGCTGTATAAATCTATACAGTATCCCGACACGTGCTTTATGCGACTCGTTTTATGAAAATATTTTTCACTATTTCTCTAGATACAATATGAACGGCTATCGCAATATTGTTTAATCCTTTGTACCCTGTTCTATTTCCTTTTTACTCATTCGCAAAATAAAAATTTCAATACGAAAATATGTAAAAATAAAGAGAAAAAATTGCTCTTATTTTAAATATAATTATGTAGAATATTTTTCTTGAGAAATATTCAACTAATTTCGATTTTCACTAATATATTAATATTTCATATTTATTTTAATTTACAGCTATGTTAAAAAATTATAACTATTGTCTGCAATTATTGTTTTACACTCTCTCATAAAGTAACCCACATAATTCGTTATATTTTGCGAATTGCGAACACCTATGAGGAGTAAAAGTTAGAAAAAAACGCGACACTATTACCTACACTTGGTTGTGAATCAAAAGAGGCATATTTCTCGTTTTAGAACAATTCGAAGTCGCTGCTGCGCCAAAATGCCACTGCGGGAAAGAATCTACCATACTCCGCGGCGATATTTCAGGTCCACTAATTTACGGTTGGCACGAGCGTTCGCGTCACGCCGATGTAACATCGATTGGGGGAAGAAATTTACGATGGCAATTAGCGCGGCAATGTCTTGCAAGCAGTTAGCTGATTTTTATTAGCCATTATCGTGCTTCCCCTTCCTTTCATCCTCTACAACGCGGTCCGCGGGCCTCCCCTTCGCGGCGGCCGAATTTTTACTGCCGATGGTGTCCACGTATTACGTCCTACCGCTTTTACGACGGCGCGTGTACGCAGGACGTTGTTCTTCCACGCGAAAAAAAAGGAGATATCTGCGGTGACGCGCGGGGCGAAACAATTAGTCGTAAATGTTCTTGGAACGTTGTATTACAGGGATGGCGCGGCGGCTTTTATCGCTGATGCATCGTTTCGTCTTGATGGCCCCGTGCGACGCACGTGGCTACTCTCATTTCGCGCAAGAAAGAAAATTACGAGTGTACTGAAATGACGCGTGAACAGGGCCCGCATGTGCAACGACAACCGGCCCAAGTAGCAGTGACCGCGATGGCACAGACGTAATCCGACAAATGTTCGCGCCGTAATTTGTTTCTTAATGTTTTATAACGGTTGGTATTGTGTCACGAATGCCGATCACCACGAACCAGCGAATATGATGATGTACTTCATGCATCGCGCGAGTTACGAATTCAGATGTTGAACTCACGAGCTTCTGTTAATTAGTTACCTATAAAAAAATTGCAAGACACATCTCGGAAGTTTGAAAAATATATAAAATTTGTATCAATTCTTGCGCGCACATTTTTTCAAATTTGTTCTTTATCCATCAACGCGCATGGCATAACGTAAATTTTGAAATTTATATAACACCATATATAACACATAAGAAACAATATTTCATTCTTAAGTCGTAAAACTTTGTTTCTCTATCGAAGATTTCCCAAAAACTATACATCCTAGAACAAGAAGATTCGGGCGGGACGAAATTTTTCCTGATTTTTTTGTGAATTCAGCTTGTCATTCGACTGATGGCGCAGCCTCGATCGGACAGCGAAAGGAGGGTGCGAGATGCGAAAATAATACCTCTCCAGACGGTCGTTACGCTGTCGTTAACCCA